CTCTACATGTTTCAGGATGTACACAGCGGAACATGGGAGGGAACCATGCTACAAGGTGCTGCCACATGATGGGGGGTGAGGGGGGGGAAAAGGGAATATGGCTGTGCAATGGCTAAATGAGTTTGCTCTTGTCCTCCTCTGACTGGGACAGCACGTTTTGGGATATATCTCATCAATAATGCAGTCATGCACACATGGATTTAGGGAGGAAGAGAAAGAAAAGTAATCCGAGTCAAGTGTCTAGGCATTCAGTTTATTTCATATGAGTGCACAAATTTAGGGCACTGACAGAAGTGACATTTGTTGTGCCAATGGCCCCTTGAAAGCACTCTACAGCCATACTGACAGAAGCGTATGGCTGCAGAGCGCTTTAAAAATACCCAATCACACAACAAATTAATATTCATCTAATGATGGTTCAGATGAAGATGCTCCAAAGCAGACCACCTTCATTAACTTCTGTCTGATCAGGGCGGTGCTGTCTGCAGGATTGGGGGGGAGAACAGGTAAAGTGGACTGAAGCTCCTCTACCTCATGGCTCTCCCTTCAGCTCAGCCTGAGCAAACGCAGCCCAGAGCTCCTTCCCCTCCATTTTCCCTCCTCCCATCATACAGACAGCACAGGAGCTGGGAGGGGGAGAGGTGGGGCTAGGGGAGAGAGGCTGCAGACAGTCAGCCTCTCTCTCTGTTAGAATGGCTCCAAAGTAAAGCTTGATCCTCCCCACCCAAACTCATGTGAAGTATCATGAGTTAGAGTGGGGAGCTATACATCTGTCAGCAATCCTTGTGATCTTTAAAAGATTCTAGTTGGACATCCCTGGAGACCAACAGCCTCTCACAATCCATGAGATAAGAAATGCCAAGTAAGGTTCTCTATGCTGACCTGCTGTGTATCTAAACCAGCAATTCTCAACCAGCATGTTGAGATCTTTTGGAGGATAATGAGGTGGAAGATGATAAGCAAGCAGATAAGTACAGACTCAAGATCCTTCTTATTCACAAGTTATGGAGGGGTGCCTTGAATCCAAAAAGGTCTAAACCACAGATCCAAAGCCCGACCTGGAAATCTTACAGGGGGCAAGTTAGGTCTATCAGATGATTGGGTCTGTGTGGAAGCAACTTGGAAGTGAACCAGGTAAGAAACTGCTCCAATTTATTATTTATGGTTCCATCAGAGAGGAATTAACTGATGAACTACAGGCAAAATAAAGTTACTTTCGCCTTTCTTCTCCTAGTGCCACTAAGAAAGACCTTCAAGTGCAGAGACATTAGGCTACTACAGCTCTATGCTGTGCTCTCCAGATCCCCACCAGTCTAACCTTTCTCTCCCTACACAAATCTTCTCTTAAACTCCAAGTCATCCTCAAATCCCAAGCATCTTTTATTCACCATCTTTTATCTTATCTCAGATCCCAGATCCGATGAGTTCAAGCAGCTAATCTTAATGTAACTACAATCTTATGCCAAATAATTTTAAAATAAAAAACCCCCAAACAGCCAGCATCTGAGATGTTGGTGTGACACTGCTATTTTTGGCAATGAAAGTTACTTAGGTAAAGAATCCTAAAGAAACTTTACTTCAAAAGAAAAAAATCTTTGGGCTGTCTTATGAAAAGACAGCAGGTCAAATGTGAAGACCAAATTCAAATAAGTAAGGTCAAAACCCAACTCACTCTTAATTATGTAGTTGCTACCATATCTCCATTATACTGCTATCTTTTGGGTGATAGTATTATGAAAACAAATTAACCTGTATCTTGATCAAATTTCTGGCCCCTTTTTGGCCCTAAGTTTAAATTGTGTCAAAAAATGCAAAGGATTCTTCAAAAGCCTAACTATACTGAAACACACGAATCTCCTACAGTATTGAGAACAAAAAAACCTGAGGTACTACACAAGATGTGAAAAGTGAAACTCACTATATGTTAGAGGTGTACTGATACATCAGTCCAATATCAGATAGTCACTGATATAAAGAAAGTTGACTATATCGGAAATTGGCCTGATGTGGCTCATAATTTGGCTGATAAATGCCCATGCATATGCACAGCTGCAGCGCAGCGCAGCATGCAAGCAGTGGGGAGAGCTGCATGCAGCTGGTAAGTCTGTTGTGCTGAAAGGGTAGCGTAGGGGTGCTGGGGCGTAGGGATGCAGACCAACATCCCCCCCCCCCCACAGTGAGGGGGGGGGGGGGGCTGGGGCAGGCGCTGCCTGGGCAGGGATGGAGCCACGGCTTGCACTACCCCCCTTTCCCCCAGACTGGCAGCGAGCCCCACCCCGTACGAACCGCCGCTCCTGTCCCGTGTCTGCCCCAGCTGAGCAGTGTCTACCCTAGCCCTACTCCCTCCCTCACCATGGGGGGCACTGATCTGCCCCCCCACAGCCCTTCCTTCCCCCCTCCCCTTTAACCACCACAAACTTACCAGCTGTATGCAGCTGTATCAGAAATAGGACTGGTATCAGCCAATATGCCTTTTTAAAAATCGGCTATCTGTATCAGCCTCCAAAAGTCTCTACCAGTGCACCCCTACTACATGCAAGTAAAACTGACCTATTTTTACTGTCCAAGCTGAATGAAATGCAAGGACAGACTGACAATATAAATGAAATGCGAATCAAGTTGTCCTCCCTGTTTAAACAGTCTAAGTTAATTATATTGATAACACTATGAGTAATTTCTTACCTACATCAGCATGAAGGGCGACTACTATTAATACTTTTAGTAGACTGAAACATAATTGGAAAAAATTGAGAGAAAAGCAAGCCAATACAAAAGTAAAGAGTATTTCCAGTAAAAAGAACATAATTACAGCTTGCTCATTTAAAAAGATTTCATCCAGTATACAAATATTAAAATAGAACAAATATGCTTTAAGTACACAGAGACCGCTATGCCTATACAGCGAGAAGATACTTGAAATCTTTTTAAATGATCAATATTTTGCAATAATGCAAGCAGATCATCCAAATTTCACATTCCTACTTTAGTCATGGAAGGGACTAGAACTAAACAGCTGAAAAAAATTTACTCCAAAGAATAAAATAATACATTTTATCTAATCAATATTTTATAAAAAAAAAAGTGAACCGTGCCAAAAATCAGAGGAGGATAGCAATTATTTCCAGTTTCCTCCATGGCTTTCAATATAACATGGCAAAATTAAAACACCCAAACATTCAAAGCCTTGGAAACTTGTCAGCTAATTTGTGTAGTGAGCAAGAAAGAAAAATATTAGCAGTAGGTTCTAGTTTTCATGTATCCAAGAAAATATAAGCAAAACCCTGTTGAACTAAAATCAACAGCAAATCTCACTGACTTCACTGGGGGAAGAATTTCACAGCCCATATTTTTTAACCGAAGTCTTCTGCATCATACACATTTTTATGTACTATTTAGCATAGATGAGAGCAAACCTGGGAGCAAAAACTTTGCAAAATTGAAACAACTAGCATTCTGTCTGACTTCTTATTAATACTAATAGATGGATAGATAGTAATGGTTTAGTTTGCCTTTCTGACAGGCGATTAATCCTGGCAAAAATTAATACTTGGGCATCCAGGTTGTTAAGGGAATTAGGTGACCATCTCAAATTCAGCGGATGTTAGCCATCTAATTAATTACCCAAGCTTTCTCCAAAAATCCGAGTATCAGTAGAGGATCAATAAGTCGGAAGCTCTACATAGATACGTGATCTTAAAGTAGGTGACGCAATAGTATCACACTGGTAACTCTGCTCAGCTGAAGGGGAGAAAGGCAGTTTGAAAAACGATGACATATGTGTGTACATGTATGATAAGGCTAATTTGATGGTTGCATTTCCTTACTGGAATAAAATTTAGAAAGAAAGAGGTTCACTTAACACTAACTTACCCTAGAAAAAGTTCCACAGAAGTGGTAATACCCAAAGGCAGAGTGCAATTTTTTAAAGAATTCCTTGGTCAAAGCCTAGAGGGCGATTACAGGGATGCCTCAATTATCACTCCAAGTGCTTTTGGATCAGCCCCTCGGCAAGAACTGGAGGCAGACTATGCATATTTGTTACTAGTACCTCTAATACACCCCTTCCAAGTAAAGGAATAAGTTACTAAATTAACTTTACCAAGGGCTATTCAACTGCTAGATGCTTTAATCTCAAAAAATAAGAATAAAAAATTAATTAAGAATAAAAAAGGTCAAATTCTAATGATGTTGGGCAGAGCGAGCAGGCAGAATTCTCCAGAGGCCAGTGTGTTCCATCTATCAGGGCTCATTTTGGCCCTAAAAACTAGCTCGTCAATAAGGAGCTTCGTCATAAATATGTAAACTTATTACAGTAACAAGGCAGCACACAAGAAGCTATTCTCAAAACAACACCCACAATATAGCCTTTCCCTAACAGTACACTTATCAGCTATCACTCTTGAATAAAACTGAGGAGAAAAAATGACAGGCAGCATCATTTTTGTAGTATGAAAGTTAATTGGCTAGAATATTCCTTGACATAATGACAAAATATCTCTAGGCTATTTCCAAAAAAGCTGTAGGAAAGAACTTTGCTTGCCTGCTCCTTAATATTTGGCTTGGTGAATCATGACAACATCAGCCCAATCTCAACAATTCTCATATACTTAGGACCAGTTTCATATAGCAGTTTACAATAACATCTGCAGACTTGTGAGCCACAAACTACAGAAAACAAATACTTGTAACTAGCACATAAACAGAGCCCTACAGTCCCAGATCAATGATTCCTATTTTAATTTTTACTAAAAGGAAAACCAAAACTAATTATTAAATATCATATTTTGTTGAAGCAAGTTACTAGATAATGAAGTTTTATGAAATGTGAATTTTGGACAGTTAAATTGCTTATGAACAAGGGGAGCAAAATAAAGCAAAGCAAAGCAAAGCAAAGCAAATAATTTCATCTCATTATTTAGTAAACAGAAACCACATTCCACTAAAAAGGGGGAGGAAAGAAAAAGCAGTAAAAGCTGGCAGAATCACTGATGACCAATCACCTGCGATTTTCATCCAGCACATCCAAGACCTGCTGGTAAGCCCTACGAGTGGAAGTCTGGATAAGCGACAAAATGCCACGAGCAGAGTAAAGATTAGTTCCATCTTCGGGTAACATATTGGGAGGACAGACACGAGCCTGTTGTAGTGATGGTGTCACACTGTACATATAAGCATAGTAAACGAAGAGAGAAATACTGTAGTCAGACTTTAAATAAAGAAATTCTTCAGCTAGTCCCAGTTCCCAAATTCAAGTTGACTCCATTTGGTCTTACCATCCTCCCATCAAAACCAGGCAAGCATATCAAAAGTCATTAGTAGAGGGAATATGAATAAACATTAATGCATGCTTTTAGGAATTAATTATTGCAAAGGGTGATTTCAGTATCGTTATACAGCATAAGATTTTCAAAAGCCCTCACTATTTATTAACTGCCACCAACTATAGGCAGTGGTAAACTTCCCACATTACAGCAGCAGCAGTGTTTGCCATCTGTGTTTTTGAAAATTCCATCCCTAAATTCTTTGGAAAGTACTAATTAAAAGAGAATTGTTTAACAATTCAGCAATGATAACTTGTTAACTCCACAATAACTGAAGCAGAAGTCTTAGCTTTACATTGTGATTGAAGAGCAAGATTGAGACAGCATTTTGATTTTCATGTGTTCAACCAATAAGAACAAAAAAATTAAGAGCAACAGTCAGCAGTCAGAATAAAGACAAAATTCATCTTTCATAGGCAACAAAGTGCATGAACTAAACTCCCAACTGTTACACCAAAAAGTGCACAGTTTAAAATGTAAGAATTAGTATTGCTTTTTTCCATAATATTTAATATTAAAGAAAGTCTGGTTCACTTTACTCTTCAAAGCCTAGGATACTTTTTAATATAAGACAATTCCTCATGAGTAACATTGGATATACTTCCCTGGATCTCTCTTTTGCACCTCATTTCAAGGGAAGCTGAGGTTAGATATTAGGAAAAAGCTTTTTCACCAGGATGCTAGGAAAACACTGGAACAGGTTACCCAGAGAGGTGGTAGAATCTTCATCGTTGGAGGTTTTTAAGACCTGGCTAGACAAAGCCTTCACTGGGATGATCTAGTAGGGGAAGGTCCTGCTTTGGGCAGGGAGTTGGAACAGATGACCTCCTGAGGTTCCTTCCAAGTCTAATTTTCTATGATTTCTGCTTTGCTCCTGCTGTATTTTGAGTCCAGCTCCCAATATTCCTGCTTTTACCCCACTAAATTCCCAGGAAACTGCTAAACTCACACTCAGTATTAACAGTGGGAAACAGGTTACTTGCTAGTTGGACTGACTGGGTCAGAGAATGCAGATGTTTAGTTATTCTAAGAACTATGAGGAATGTAGCTGTTCTCATTACTGACTGGTGCCAAGGCTACACCTTTTGTCTGACAAAAACAAAATGAAGCTCTACTGAAACATGCACAGGTGTTGCTGTGCTCCTAAAGCTGTACAGGAGTGCGTAGGTGGGACAATGTTCCAAGATACTTGCACTTCAAATTGGTATGCAAAATATTTATGCAAAAATTTAACAGCAGAAATAAAAACATTGGCAAGCATCTATTTCATCATCTTACAGTGTCTGTTGTGTTCTTCATGCTTGAAAAGATCATCTACACTTCCTTGTTTTTATATTTAGGATTACTTTTATTTTGGGATTAACAGCATTAGTCACTGCAACCATGTTCCATTTTTGCTTTGCATGGTTACCACATATCATAATATCTACTGATAAAAAAAATTTGAAGAGGTAGCAAACTGGGCCAGACGAAGAGATTCTGGCCCACCAGCAAAGTCATAAGGCAACTTATTCCCATCTGGAAGTTGCAGGGTTGAGGGAGAAGGGAAAGATATCAAAGCACAGGAGGCTTCAGATCTAATGTCATTGCTCTTGGTCCTAATGAAAGGATGTGATTTAAGTCAACCCAAATAGAAATGGATGGGAGATAGCTTTCAAAAGGCCACACAACTACAGAGCTTGGACACAAGACAACTAGAGAACACTGCTGACACTCCGACCCTCCAGCTTGCAATCAGCGATGTTACTTCTGTGTGAAAGCTTCTGTAAATAGTTCACAAGAATCACTGAACTGAAATGGCAACAATGCCTTTAATGTTGTTCTGCATCAACAGCTGCACTGAATAAACCTGAAGCTCTCACAAGGAAGATAAAGCCAGAGTTAAGAATAAATAATAGATTCTGGAGGTACACGACTCCTAACCCTATGATCCAATCAGTAGAATGCTGTGCTCTATCCAGCCAGTTTGGGACTCTGAACTGCACTACTAATTTATAGTGGTTTGCAAGAAGACAGTCTTAGAGACTATTCACATCATAAGGTCTATTTTCTCCTGAATGTGAGCCAAACTACCACAAGCTGGAAGAATATTCTTATTGATATTCCTAAAAAAAAGGCAATCATTACCTCTTCTCTTTCCCTCTAAAATGCATTGTATTCAGCATCAAGGAAAAACCTGTTTTTGTTCTGACCAAGGTCGGCAATTAAAATGTGCACACAGCTGAAGTTAGAGGTAAAAAAGGAGTTGTACCTGAAAAAAAAAGAGAAGGCCTATCGAATGAAGTGAAATCTTCTTCTGTGACTTGACCTAGGACTTAGAAACGTGCCTCTTACTTGATTTGTCTAAAGTATGCCATCTAGAAAGGACTAACAGAGAGTATGGAGAACAGGACATTATGGAATAAAAGTTCTGACAAACAGCTTTGCCATGACTGTCAAATATTTAGTTAGAATCTCTCTCATTTGTCATTATATACTACTGCTACTAAGGTAGCTACAAAAGCTTCCCCTACTCTTACCATTTTCACTCTTTTGCTTGGGCCTTAATACCATATTGCTGCAGAATTTTTTCAGAAAGCATTTTCATGACGCAAATTCTTTTCCAAGAGTTTTTAGCAAGATTGTCTTCAGCATTCTGTAGTTACCATGAAAACAGTCAAATGCATGTGTGTGGCTATAGCAAAACTAGCAACAAGTAGTTCAGGCTTCTGGTTTAACAAGCTTTCAGGAAGACACAGATTAGGTGTTTTCTAACTTATTATTTCAGCTATTTCTCTGCCTCACATTTTTGAACCATGTTACTGGCAAACAGATTTAGGTAATCAAGGTCAAACACCTTTGACAGAGATTAATACAAGAGTTAAGTGCATGTCCTTTTTTCTTAAAAAGGTGTACACACCATCACCTCCTTCAAGTGTTGTTAGAAGAAAGGCATTTTTTGAACTGTGAGGCTGGCCTCTAGGGAAATGCCAGCATCTTCTGGTAAAAATGAGAAGCAGAAAAAACAGAATTACACACACTTTGTCACCTATTCTTGCTGGATTGCTCACTTCAGAATGAAAAATGGAACACTTCGATCCATCATTAGTTGGTAATACTTAAGAGAAGGTTATTGCCCTAATCAGGCTGTAGCAGTCAAGGAAGAATGGGGGAAAATAAATCAATCAATCAATCAAAATAAGTTTACCTATCGACAACGTTAAACATTATACTACTATTTTTTTGTCCAAGAAATAATGTTACAAATGGAAACTCTCCCCTTCTTTCTGTTTCCACTGTCACTGAAACAGCTACCCGTATTGAAAGCCCGAGTACTATTTTTTCCTCTGTATCTTATAAGAGGAATGATGTGACAGAATTTGAGGAAGCCCCCCCAAAACTACAGATAGAAGCCACACATTCAGGAGAGCAATAGCTATTTCAGATATTGTGCATTGAATTACAGCTACTTGGGCAGAAGATTAATTATATAGCTTTGAGCAATATTAAACTCTTGATTTTCAGATACCATAATTAATAGTTAAGCTTACGTGTAGTCCTTAGTGGAGAGGGGTGACTGGAACCGTGGCATTTTATTTCTTGGGACAGTATCTGATCTGTGCCACCTTGAACAATAATTGCAATTCTCTTAAATAAGCATCCTTATAAATAGAGGGAAAGTAATTTAAGGAGCCATCATTACTGTTTCATAGTTAGTAACTGTAAAATGCATGCCTAATCATTACCATACCGGCTGGTCTTTAAGAGCATTCAAGAATTACTTTCACAGTTCAACCCAAATCCCACTAAAAATGTTAATGACAGCCACTACATGATAGGATGATGAGAAAGTAGATGACAACACATTTAGTAACAACTGTCTGCAGTACTTAGATACAAAATCAGGAGTGAAGCCAAGTCTTTTGCTTTGTTCTGGGCAGGCTCTTCCAAGAATGTCACTTTCCAATACCATCACTCTCACAGCACACACATTGAAACTCCAGGCTCTATCTGCAACAGTGTCTGGCCAGGGTGGATGGGGAATAAGAGGTTAAAATTATACCCATCCACTAGAACATGTTAACAGAAACTCAGTCTGGCAACTATTCCGAAATGGCTGTGCTCTACCTCTGATGGACACACAAACCACATTTACAATAGGCCTCAGAGAAATACATCCAGGACAGCCTTTAGCAAGACATCCAAATAGACAGCACAGAAAAAATCCTGGCTGTCAGTCAAGCCAGCATATAAAGGCAGACGAAGAGGGCAAGAAAAAAAAAAATCATTAACACACCCTCTAGAAGGCCAAATATTTTCTTCAATACATGTCTTATTTATTTAAACTACTTCATTGGTGTGATGTGACCTGAATTTAAGCCGGAGAACACAGACTTTTACAGTCTGTGGAGAGAAGTGGACTGGATCTATCCAAGGACAAAAATAAATGCTTACTGCGATTCATTTAGACCTCTGTCAAATCAGTCAGTATACCACAAAAGCTTCCTGGATGGAGCCAAGAGTAAGCATATAGCCAAGACAATACACAGGCTTATTCTCCAAATCAGCTTTGTTTAAACCAAGCAAAAGTATTCAAAAACTGGTGGCATTTTCAGCAATGGAACAAAGAATACATGACAATAATAATAATACAAAACTCTGTTTATGTTTCTGAATAATGGTGAAGACTGATTTAAAATTGCAAATTAAAAGAGCTCTAAAACAAAAAATTCCATGTTTATTGTGGACTGATGATCCAAATGAGGAATAAGAGTGCAGAAAGAGGCTTCCTGAACATAACTTTGGGGGGGGGAAATACACTCAATATTTAACTATTTAATTGTTCTATTAATTTTAATTCAAAGGGGATAAAGATATATAGAATTACATCACTTCCAAACCCAGCCTTCTATAGAAAAAGGACATCTACCACTCTGCTCTCT